TTGTTGCAAACGAAATTTGATAGTAATATACCCGGGGTTAGACAAAATAATGTAAACACCTGGCTGAAACATTTATTTATTGACTAATAAGGCATTGGACCTCCATTAAGTTCTGAAACGGCTTTGATTCTACGTGGAATGGAATCAAATAAGTTTTGAATTGTTTCCAGTTGAATTATATCTCATCCTTCAATCAAAACCCCGGAAAATTACTTCAACGACGATGGGGAATAAAATATGTTTCTCACTCTCTGCTCTAGATCTCCCCATAATGATTTGATTATATCGAGATCTGATGATTGTGCTTTCCATGGAAAATGTTTACGTTATGATGCTCATCAAACCATCACTTCACTTTCTTTGTAGTGTGTATGGGTGTATTATCATCTTGGCATATGGCACTTTCAGGCAACAGTATAGTAGCCATTGGAAGGAAATTGTCATTGAGAATATCGAGATATTTATCTGCAGTAATTCTACCATTAGGACCAGAAGAATACCAGGAAATTGCCATCCAAATCATTACTGATCCACCTCCAGGTTTGTTACTGTCAGGGCAATGCAATCCGGCTCATAGGTTTCACGCGGCGATGTTCTTCAGACATAAACACGTCCGTTTGTAGGAAATAACGTAAAAGAACACTCATCAGATCAAATAACGTTTTTCCATTCCTCGAATCTCCAATTTTTGTGATCATCACACCATATTTTTCGCAACTTGGTGTTGGACTTTGTGATCAGAGGTTTATGAATCGCAGCCCTTCCGTGGAGACCAGCTTTGTGAAGCTCCCGATATACTGTGCATGTTTAAACTCTATTGGTTAGGTGAGTAATGAGTTCTGATGTCACTTTTGCTATAATAGTTTTATGATTTTTTTTTTTGCCACAATTCGTTTTAAAGCTCGTCGGTCTCTTTTGATCAACTTTGTTTTCCGTCCACTATTCCTCTTTGCTGATGAGTTTTTTGCCTTGTTTTTGTGTCAACTGTCATAACCGTGGACACTACACCTCGTGACACATTCAATAATTCAGACTATTTGGTCACAGACGCTCCTGCTAATCGAACACCAATTATTTGTCCTCTTTGAAAATCCAACAAGTCGCGCATTTTAGTATATAACCCTTTTACCTGAAGATAAATAATGACTTAATTAAGTTGAAAAGCAAGGTAAAGGATTGAAGTACTGAGCAGTTTACCTTTTATGCCGGTTTCATTTTTACAAATAGCCGGAAATGCCGGAATTGAAAAAATTGCTATTTTTGCAAGCTGTTCATGTTATTTTATCTAACCGCTGTATATATATATATATATATATATATATATATATATATATATATAGAGAGAGAGAGAGAGAGAGAGAGAGAGAGAGATAGATATAAGTGACAGTCACTACATTCCACACAGAAGTTCGCTTTTGGACAGAAATGGCATAAACTTTTCTCCTTATTTTAGATAGGAAAGGCGCTCGGTCACGGGGTGCGGCAGCACCTTTCTCACTAAGACGGGTGGGGTTCGATGTAATATCAATACCAGTGCAACAGTGGTTACAGAACTGGGCAGTTTTTGTCCTAGACCCATATGCATATTATAATATTATTATTTTCAGGCTTCCCGTAAAAAAAATCCTCGTGTCAATAGGGAGACCGGGAAAATTTTTCTAATGTTTTTTTGTTCTTCAAATTTGGCTAATTTTTCAAAATTTTGCCTTTGCGAATTTATAAAAGATTTTTAATAAAAAAAAAAGTTTCTTCAAATGAGGTGCGGTGGATTGCTGGTTAAAACCGAAAAAATGGGAACAGCGGACCGAGTTCATTTTAATTTTTCGCACTAATGCACTTGGAAATGACATAAACTCACTACTACCTTTTCTTCGGCTATGGATTAAATATCAGAGTTGACTAGAATCTCTACCCTTGCCAAGGCAAGAGAAGAACAACTCTGAATTCAAAATTGTGGAAGAGGCACCTGGAAACCAACCCACAATCTTTCTCAAAATCAATTATGACAATGCAGAAATCTACAGAGATAAAAAAAACAAAGGAAATTCGAAAAAGTCATGCACGCCTATGTCTTCAACGGACATTGCATTAAAAATAAATAAAAGCAATTCAAGAAACTAATTTGTTTTCTTTCAGTGAAACTCTTTATCGCCTTCAACAATTAAATTCTTGGATCTTGATAACTAGTCACTGAATAGCCGAAGGCGTTCGATAAAAAAAAGCCTAACCTAAATTTACTGTTTTACTTCCAAGTTGAAGTGATTTTTAATTTTCTTATAAATTATTATTATTTTAAAATTCATCATTATTATTGTGAAAATTTCACGGTTTTCCGATTTTAATTTTCTGATAAATCAGAATTTTTAATTTAATTATTGAATAAGCTCTTTAGTTGTTTTACGTCTATAAAACACTCTTGAAAATTCCCCTATTCCATCGTTAAACATTTGCGCTTAACAACTTAAAAATATTACAATAACAATCATAAATATGGATACAGGCAATTATTTAAAGAAGTAAGAGGGTACAAGTGAAAAGATTCAAAATTGATATGGGTTTTCATTTCACTACGGCAGATGTTAAACGCATGAGAGTATTATCGTCTCCTCTATCTTCCTTTTCTTGCTTGCTTTCTATTTTTCTTCTTATGTATCAATTGTCTTTCTCACTAAAACCAAACAGCCTATCTGATATATCTTTTACTTCTGTCTTTTCTCACCGTCAAAACAGAATGGTCCATTACTTATCTGAAATAGTATAATGCACGTACTAACTTACTAACAGAGGAACAAGCAGAATTATTGTTGTTGTTGTTGTTATTGCGTTCTGTAAAGAATGAGTGTGTGTGTGTGTGTGTGTGTGTGTGTGTGTGTGTGTGTGTGTGTGTGTGTGTACAATTTTCGTTAAAAACGACTGACAAGGTGCTGTGGTTATTTTTTTTTATATATATAATTTTTCTTGTGTTCTTATAGTTTTTCCTTTTCAGAACGTAAATTATATCCGAATGTTCTATATACCCGAGCGCTTTCGGCTATGCTTTTAGCCATTATCAAAGATGAATTTTATTTTTACTTTTAACTGTATATATGGTTAGTTTTATGTATGTATCTAGAGTTATAGGAATGTTTTATTTTCCAAACATGGTCAGCACATTATGGCTGATATTATTGAGTGTTTGCGTTCCTTTTTTATTAATAATGTTTCCATTATTTTTAGCCTTTTTGTGCTTGTGGATGATGTTATTATATTTGTATTATCAACGAATCTGTTACGGATAGAGTTTAGTAGGTCACGTAATTGAGCTATGGTCAGAGAGATGTAACGTGAGTCTTCTTGTTAAACATGTAGTATATCCAATATAATTATTTACGAATTTGTCAACTTTCAAAGTTTATCAAGATTGTAGAGTCAACGGTATGATATGTTTACAACTAACCGTTAATTCAAATCTTTGATTTAATAAATCATCCCTATTCAAGAACCTGATAATCTGCATTTTCTCCTTTAAAAAAATAGAACAAGGTTCATATAAGGATCTACATGTTCTTGCCAGTTTAAAAAATTTTCCATTTAACTTATATATATATATATATATATATATATATATATATATATATATACACACGTATATATATATATATATACATATGTGTGTGTGTACAATTTTTCTTAAAAACGATTGACAAGTTGCTGTGGTTATTTTTTTATTTTCATCTTTCATCCTCCATATTTTGAAAGTGAAGTATTATTTCTATAAGTATTATTAGTAAAAGACGATATGTGTTGATATCACCGGGTTTTGAAAGAATTCTTAGTACTACCAATATAGAACTTTTCAACCCACCGATTTTCTATTGTAGAGATAGAACTAAGATACACAGGGAATTCGGTTAAACATTTGTTTGATAATGGGTATTGTTTAGGATTCCTACAATTACATAGGTTAATATCTTTAACAATATTTTCATTGGTGCTTGCATTATGATTAAGATTATTAAATTGGTTTATGGTTCGATTGTTGTGCAACTTTATGATTTTCTCGAATTTATTGGTGCACCTATAACTAAGTTTTAATGTATTCCTATTAAATATTTTATAAGATGGTTGCTTTTCGGAAAATGCTTATCGATCAATTTGAAAAACTTATGGCCTACTGAGTGATTAAATGAAGGTGTGTACCAGATGTGATATTCCTATTCCTATTCTTTTCTTTGAATAACAGTCATCATATTTTCAAAAGTGAATTTCGGCACACTTATACCTGCTATTCTTAAGAACTTTATTGTATATGCATGTGTGTGTGAGTGTACCTGCATGTACTTGTGTATTCGCGTGCATACAAAGACACACATACATATATACAGGTATATGCATTTTAGTTTGTACAAACACACCCATATGAATACTTTGAGTTTAGGCACATTTACACATCCATGCGTTCGAGCAAACATATATACGCAATTGTCATTCTATTTCGGTGTTGAAACTGTAGCATTTACATATGTAGCAATGTTCTCTTAACACCCACCTGTTGCTTGTTCTACATCTGCGTCTGTATGTGAGAGTGCCATCTTAAACATACACAGAAGAAAATTGCCCCCCCCACACACACACACAAATAATAAAACGCAAAGAAGCATAAACAGATCCACTTTTTAAAAAATAAACGAGTTTGTCTGATGATTCCAAAAGCGTGAAACCCGGGGTTACAAACTAATATCCATGCAACTGTATATATATATATATATATATATATATATATATATATATATATATATATATATATATATATATATAAATGCACGTGCACGAATAAAGAGAAAAGGAAAACTTTTCTTTACAAAAGAGTTTCATCTCCTGAGGGACTTAATCAAAGTAAATGTAGAGATTTTAATTGACAAAATATGTTTATAAAAAGAAGTTGGGAAACAAAACCCCTCAGGAGATGAAACGCATTGGTAAAGAAAAATTCTCCTTTTGTCTTTAGTCATATTGTCTTTTTATAGATATATAGATAGATAGATATAAACAGATTGAAATAGATAGATAGATAGATAGATAGATAGATAGATATAAACAGATTGTGATAGATAGATAGATAGATAGATAGATAGATAGATAGATAGATAGATAGATAGATAAGTATGTATGTATGTCTCTCTCTCTCTCTCTCTCTGTGTGTGTGTGTGTGTGTGTGTGTGTGTGTGTGTGTAACAGAATCTTGACAGAGGATGCATGTTTTTCTAACAACATTTCTCAAATATTCCGACCGGTAAATCCAGTCGGATAAAAAAAAAATACTGTTTAATTAAAATACAGAACTTCTACTCAAATATGAGTATCCATAAAAAATAACATTTAAACAAAATAAATTTAAAATAACAATATGTCGGATTTAATGCATTTCCTCTAATATATATATATATATATATATATATATATATATATATATATATATATATATATGTATATATACACACACACACACGGTGGTTGCGATGCGTAAATTGTCGCCATTTTATATTTTTAATTTAGTGAATGCGTGTTGTTTCTTTTTTAGTTTGTCGACTGCACAGTAAAGTAGGGTCAGTTGGGAATCGTCTGTGAGAAAAAGAGTACCATGATACAATTCAGTCCACCAGAAATTTTGAAACGACATGCTGTACTGCTTGGCATTCGCGCCGGAAACTCCAATGCGAAAGTTTCAGAGGACAGTGCGGAGAATCCGAAAAGGGTTGGATGAATCTAATGGTGATTACGAAAGTGTTTAGAGTGATCACTAGTGCTGGCGAAGTTATGCCTTCATTCATTTTCCCACGGGGCCTCAGACGCAACACAGAGGCCTATATCATGTGCCTTGAGGAGATAGTGTTGCCCTGGGTCAAGAGGGTAGTTGTTGAAAGAACCTGTATGGCAACAGGACTCTGCACCATGCCACACAAGCAGGAGAACCCAATCATGTCTATCAGACAATTTCTGTAACCACATCACCCCTTACATCTGGCCACCGAACTCTACAAACTACAACCCCCTTGATTATTATGCGTGGGGCGCAGTTGAGGGAAAGACCAACAAAACTCCTTGTAACACTAAAGATGAACTGAAGGCAAAGATTATGGAAGCATTCACCACCTTAAACAGGGAGACCGTCCAGAAGAGTTGCGGGAGATTCCAAAGTCGTCTGGATACCGCAGTTGAAGCCAATAGCGATTTTATTGAATTAATGTACTCTTTAGTACTTCATGTTTGTGTAATTTTAGTAAACATATCTATTAAAATGAGATGTCAGTTTTATTCTCATTTTTGCGTAATTTAGACGACAATTTATACATCGCCCCCTTCCCCCTCTCTCTCTACATACATATATACACGCACACACACACATATATATATAGTGTATTTCGGCATCAATCCCTCTTTTATACATGTTTCGCTAAAGACGACAGACAAGGTAAGCTTTTTATTTGATTTATTGTGTTATTACAAGTGTCTTCTTTTCTCGGTACCAAGTTTTTTAAAATTGTTCAAAAGTTCTGCATATCCGGGCGATTTCGGATATTCTTTTAGCAATTACCATGGACAATTTTGGACAATTTTTACACATTTGTATCCAGAAAAGAAAACACTTGCACGTACAAAAGAAAAATTAAATAAAAAGCTTTACCTTGTCAGTCCTCTTTAACGAAACATTACATTTAAGTGTTAATATTAATGCTTTTTTTATCTCTTGATATTGAAAACTCTCATTAATGACTGTTTATCTTAAAAGTCTTATCTTCCAGAAATACCCTGGACGAGCGTTTTTTTTTTGGTTTTGTTTTTCTTTGCTAAACACAATCTTTGTCTTATGTAAATGTGTGTCTGCGAGTGTGCGTCTCTGCGCGTGTATGCGTCTGTGCGTGTGTAGGAATAATTAGTTTGGGAATTTTTTTTTTTAACTATCGTTACTGAATGAAGTTAATTAAATTTCTTGAATTACAAGAATGTCACTTTGTTTTAGTATAATTTAAGATGATGCAATAGAAAACGAAATTCGGTGAAACGATACAAATACTAAAAGCATTTATTAGCAGTAGTAACAGTAGAGAACTACATACTAGAAGAAGACTAAACGTAGTTGTTGACTGTTCTTAGTTGTAGTCAAGAAATAGTGGCGTTAAATCAGAATATTGTTTAATATAATTTTCGTATTTATAAATGCAAGGATATTATATATATATATATATATATATATATATATATATATATATATATATATATATACTGACTCTCACCTCGAAATTTGACGTATGAGGGTCAAGAAGATCAGTTCCCAGGAAACCGACAGCCCGACAACAGCACATGAGATTTGATTATAATGTTTTGTTGTGAAGGCGTTAAAATTTACAAGCCATTTCCTGCCCCAGTTAACTACTGATTTGGTTTCCTTTGCGTAGATTTTTCTCCAGGTGTAGTGACCACAGTTACATTATGTTTCTCACTGATTACATTGCACTTTGTCCGCTTGCATCTGCTGATACAAATATCTTTTCTCTTGAAGTCTCTACTTGATATTTGGGAGAAACTCGTACAAAGCACCCCCACCAAAATGCAACAACAACAATAATAATAATAATAATCTTGATGCACAAGGCTAATGCTTAATAACTAGAAATTACCAAGCACACATACCGAAAAATTGTGTTAACCAAAAATGCAGATTCTGTGATAAATATCAAGAAACAATTGACCATCTTGTATCCGATTGCACTGTATTGGATAAAACGCGGCACGACAACATCAGCCAATATCTGCACTGGAAAATCTGCAACTTTTACGGAGAGGAAACTGCAAGAAACTGGTAAGAACACCACCCAGACACGGTTACAGACATAAGGACTTTTGACAATGTTATGAGATTTTATAATACACACAGACAGAACAGTCAAAGCAAATTACCCAGACATACTGAGCAAAAAGCACACAAACAGAATGTGCTTTCTTATTCACATGGTAGTTCCTGCAGATTCTAATGAATCTTTGAAGATATATCGTTCTTGAAGTGGAATTCTCAGAAATGTGGCAGAATAATTCCAGTTTTAGCTGGAACCCTCGGTTTGATTGGAAAAGGTTCCGATAGAATTATTGAAGGGACCCCTAGTAGCCCATGACTTAAAGAAATACAGAAGAAATTTACTCACAAGCACGCAGCTCACACATTACGATGCAATTTATCTATATAAAATGTGTGTGAGCGTAGGTTGTTTTTGTTTTGTAATTTTGCAAAAATTATCAGTGGAAAATATCATGACCTTAGACCTCTGGTTGGGACCTGGAAGGAAATGTGTATACAAAAGAAACCTAAAGGAACAATAATAATATTAATAAATAATAGAAGATCATATGATTATTTTAATAAGTTTACTAAATCAACAAAACCAACGTAGGTAACCAAATATGTTTATTTATATTAGTGGGAGCAGCAAACTGGTCGCATGAATCTGCAAGAAAAGACATTGATGAAAGACGATAACACGAAAAGAGAAAGGGAAATCGAAAAGAACAGGAAAAAAACAACGATAAATATGAACAGGAAAGAAATGGCTATGAATATTAACTGAAAAAATGGCGATGAATATGAAGAGACAGAAATGATGATAAATATTTGGTTGGTGCATAATTATCAAGAGTTTTGTAGGCGAGTTATTTGTTAATAAAATTGCTACTTTTTTTAATAAAAATATTGTTTTATTTTCAGGTTATAAACATGCATTTCGAGAATCATACGTTCCGAAATAATCATTTAAAAATGTTATTGTTGATTTGTTACGTTTCTTTTTTCATAATAAATATTGTTTAAAAAACGATGAATATGAACAGAAAGAAATGGCGATAAATATTAACAGAAAAGAAATGTCGATAAATATGAACAGAAGGAAATGGCAATGAATATGAACAGAAAGAAATGGCGATGAATATGAACAAAAAATGGCGATGAATATGAACAGAAAGAAATCGCGATGAATATGAACAGAAACAAAATGACGATGAATATAAACAGAAAGAAATGGCGATGAATGTGAACAGAAAGAAATGGCGAAGAAGATGAAAAGAAAAATAATGGTGTTAAATATGAACAGGAATAAAATGGCAATGAGTATGAACAGAATTAAAAAGCCATATTTATGAATAGAAAGAAATGGCGATGAATATGAACAGAAAAAAATGTCGATTAATATAAACATAAAGAAATGACGATAGTTAGGAACAGGAAAGAAATGGCAATGAATATCACATTTCTTTAAATGACGATAGTTATGAACAGAAAAAAATTGGCGAAGATTATGGAAAGAAAGAAATGTCGATAAATATGAACAAGAAATAAATAGCGATAGTTATGAATGGAACAAAATGTCGATTATTCTGAACAAGAAAGAAATGGCGATGAATATGAACAGAAAGAAATGGCAATGAATATGAACAGAAAGAAATCGCGATGAATATGAACAGAAAAGAAATGGCAATGAATATGAACAGAAAGAAATGGTAATGAATATGAACAGAAACAAAATGGCGATGAATATGAACAGAAAGAAATGGTAATGAATATGAACAGAAACAAAATGGCGATAAATATGAACAGAAAGAAATGGCAATGAATATGAACAGAAAGAAATGGCGATGAATATGAACAGGACATAAATCGCGATGAATATGAACAGAAACAAAATGGCGATGAATATGAACAGAAAGAAACAGCAATTAATATGAACAGAAAGAAATGGCGATGAATATGAACAGAAAAGAAATGGCGATGAATATGAACAGAAAAAATGGCAATGAATATGCACAGAAAAGAAATGGCGATAAATATGAACAGAAAGAAATGGTAATGAATATGAACAGAAACAAAATGGCGATAAATATGAACAGAAAGAAATGGTAATGAATATGAACAGAAACAAAATGGCGATAAATATGAACAGAAAGAAATGGTAATGAATATGAACAGAAACAAAATGGCGATAAATATGAACAGAAAGAAATGGCAATGAATATGAACAGAAAGAAATGGCGATGAATATGAACAGGACATAAATCGCGATGAATATGAACAGAAACAAAATGGCGATGAATATGAACAGAAAGAAACAGCAATTAATATGAACAGAAAGAAATGGCGATGAATATGAACAGAAAAGAAATGGCGATGAATATAAACAGAAAGAAATGGCGATGAATGTGAACAGAAAGAAATGGCGAAGAAGATGAATAGAAAAATAATGGTGTTAAATATGAACAGGAATAAAATGGCAATGAGTATGAACAGAAATAAAAAGCCATATTTATGAATAGAAAGAAATGGCGATGAATATGAACAGAAAAAAATGTCGATTAATATAAACATAAAGAAATGACGATAGTTAGGAACAGGAAATAAATGGCAATGAATATCAACATTTCTTTAAATGACGATAGTTATGAACAGAAAAAAATTGGCGAAGATTATGGAAAGAAAGAAATGTCGATAAATATGAACAAGAAATAAATAGCGATAGTTATGAATGGAACAAAATGTCGATTATTCTGAACAAGAAAGAAATGGCGATGAATATGAACAGAAAGAAATGGCAATGAATATGAACAGAAAGAAATGGCGATGAATATGAACAGAAAAGAAATGGCAATGAATATGAACAGAAAGAAATGGTAATAAATATGAACAGAAACAAAATGGCGATAAATATGAACAGAAAGAAATGGCAATGAATATGAACAGAAAGAAATGGCGATGAATATGAACAGGACATAAATCGCGATGAATATGAACAGAAACAAAATGGCGATGAATATGAACAGAAAGAAACAGCAATTAATATGAACAGAAAGAAATGGCGATGAATATGAACAGAAAAGAAATGGCGATGAATATGAACAGAAAGAAATGGCAATGAATATGCACAGAAAAGAAATGGCGATAAATATGAACAGAAAGAAATGGTAATGAATATGAACAGAAACAAAATGGCGATAAATATGAACAGAAAGAAATGGTAATGAATATGAACAGAAACAAAATGGCGATAAATATGAACAGAAAAAAGAAATGGTAATGAATATGAACAGAAACAAAATGGCGATAAATATGAACAGAAAGAAATGGTAATGAATATGAACAGAAACAAAATGGCGATAAATATGAACAGAAAGAAATGGTAATGAATATGAACAGAAACAAAATGGCGATAAATATGAACAGAAAGAAATGGCAATGAATATGAACAGAAAGAAATGGCGATGAATATGAACAGGACATAAATCGCAATGAATATGAACAGAAACAAAATGGCGATGAATATGAACAGAAAAAACAGCAATTAATATGAACAGAAAGAAATGGCGATGAATATGAACAGAAGAGAAATGGCGATGAATATGAACAGAAAGAAATGGCAATGAATATGCACAGAAAAGAAATGGCGATAAATATGAACAGAAAAGAAATGGTAATGAATATGAACAGAAACAAAATGGCGATAAATATGAACAGAAAGAAATGGTAATGAATATGAACAGAAACAAAATGGCGATAAATATGAACAGAAAGAAATGGTAATGAATATGAACAGAAACAAAATGGCGATAAATATGAACAGAAAGAAATGGTAATAAATATGAACAGAAACAAAATGGCGATAAATATGAACAGAAAGAAATGGCAATGAATATGAACAGAAAGAAATGGCGATGAATATGAACAGGACATAAATCGCGATGAATATGAACAGAAACAAAATGGCGATGAATATGAACAGAAAGAAACAGCAATTAATATGAACAGAAAGAAATGGCGATGAATATGAACAGAAAAGAAATGGCGATGAATATGAACAGAAAGAAATGGCAATGAATATGCACAGAAAAGAAATGGCGATAAATATGAACAGAAAGAAATGGTAATGAATATGAACAGAAACAAAATGGCAATGAATATGTACAGAATGAAATGGCAATAAATATGAACATGAAAGAAATGGCAATGAATATGGACAGAAAGAGAAAGCTGTACGGGAAACAATGAAGAGGATTATGATTGAGGCAGTGATGAAGCGACGCCCGTAAATCTGATTATTTTACTGACTTACTGTCAACGTGCACAGTTTTATGAACAAACTTTGTATATGAAGTCATAACACAGTACACAGCATTTGACGATGGTTTTCTAGGTTTAGGGACGTGACAAATTTAACCTACTTTAAATTACAATTAAAGTATTATACAATCTCTCGTCTCAAATATTTGATATGCGTTCCGTAGCATTTTATTTTAAAGATTTATTAGAAGCCTGCGACGTAACGACTTTGTTTTCTTTTGTTTTTGTTGTTTGTTTTTTGTTTTTTTACGGCTTGTCAAACCATTATGAATTATTTAAAGCCGGAGCATATTTTAATTTGTAAGAATAATTAAATTTTTACGAGTGAATATTAACAAAAAAAATAATAATAATACATGTCCTACTGTTTAATCCATATCTGGGGGAAGAGAGAGATTCATAGACTTCCCAAGGGTATTTGCACGTGACTTTAACAATTTTGGCTTGAATTCGAAACCGACTCCCCGATTTCTCATTCTGTGCGGCTAGCAGTTACGTAACCCGCTATCATCTACAGCAACAGATACGTCAAAAGGGTTAGAATCCCAGGATTAAGCTGGCTCTATTTCTATTATGTTGTACCTGAAGACAAACGACGACTGATCAGAGTATAATGATAAACCACACCCGACAGCAAGACCCTTGATCGGGATATTAGAGGTTTTGAAAAGCAGGTCCAGACCCCGAGGGAGTTGTCCCAACTATCGGCAAAAGGATTTTTTTTATAGTAAAATTATTAGCAATATATTTTTAGAAAAAAAAACACCAGTACATTTTTGTAGTGAAATTAACAGCAATACATTTTATGATCTAAAAACTATATACTTAAAAAACATAACTTTTAACCTGAAAGTATAAAATTATGTACAAAATATTTAGATTTCGTCATTAAATAACCCATAGACCGATGAACAAAATCAACCAAACCAATCAAAATATTTAGATTTCGGCATTAAATAACCCATAGAGCCGATGAACAAAATCAACCAAACCAAACCAATCAAAATATTTAGATTTCGTCCCAAATAACCCAAGAGGTGTTGATATGCCGAAAAAAATCAACCAAACCAATCAAAATATTTAGATTTCGGCATTAAATAACCCATTTTGATATGCCGATGAACAAAATCAACCAAACCAAACCAATCAAAATATTTAGATTTCGGCATTAAATAACCCATAGAGGTTTGATATGCCGATGAAAAAATCAACCAAACCAATCAAAATATTTAGATTTCGGCATTAAATAACCCATAGAGGTGTTGATATGCCGATGAACAAAATCAACCAAACCAAACCAATCAAAATATTTAGATTTCCGGCATTAAATAACCCATGATCTAAAAAAACCAATCAAAATATTTAGATTTCGGCATTAAATAACCCATAGAGGTGTTGATATGCCGATGAACAAAAATCAACCAAACCAATCAAAATATTTAATTTCGGCATTAAATAACCCATAGAGGTGTTGATATGCCGATGAACAAAATCAACCAAACCAATCAAAATATTTAGATTTCGGCATTAAATAACCCATAGAGGTGTTGATATGCCGATGAACAAAATCAACAAACCAATCAAAATATTTAGACAAATAACCCATAGAGATGTTAATATGCCGATGAACAAAATAATCAAACCAATCAAAATATTTAGATTTCGGCATTAAATAACCCATAGAGGTGTTGATATGCCGATGAACAAAAATCAACCAAACCAATCAAAATATTTAGAATTAAATAACCCAAAAGATGTTAATATGCCGATGAACAAAATAACCAATCAAAATATTTAGATTTCGGCATTAAATAACCCATAGAGGTGTTGATATGCCGATGAACAAAATCAACCAAGCCAAACCAATCAAAATATTTAGATTTCGGCATTAAATAACCCATAGAGGTGTTGATATGCCGATGAACAAAAATCAACAAACCAATCAAAATAAAAATAACCCATAGAGATGTTAATATGCCGATGAACAAAATAATCAAACCAATCAAAATATTTAGATTTCGGCATTAAATAACCCATAGAGGTGTTGATATGCCGATGAACAAAATCAACCATGCCAAACCAATCAAAATATTTAGATTTCGGCATTCAATAACCCATAGAGGTGTTGATATGCCGATGAACAAAATCAACCAAACCAATCAAAATATTTAGATTTCGGCATTAAATAACCCATAGAGGTGTTGATATGCCGATGAACAAAATCAACCAAACCAAACCAATCAAAATATTTAGATTTCGGCATTAAATAACCCATAGAGGTGTTGATATGCCGATGAACAAAATCAACCAAACCAATCAAAATATTTAGATTTCGGCATTAAATAACCCATGCCCATGAACAAAATCAACCAAACCAAACCAATCAAAATATTTAGATTTCGGCATTAAATAACCCATAGAGGTGTTGATATGCCGATGAACAAAATCAACCAAACCAATCAAAATATTTAGATTTCGGCATTAAATAACCCATAGAGGTGTTGATATGCCGATGAACAAAATCAACCAAACCAATCAAAATATTTAGATTTCGGCATTAAATAACCCATAGAGATGTTAATATGCCGATGAACAAAATAATCAAACCAATCAAAATATTTAGATTTCGGCATTAAATAACCCATAGAGGTGTTGATATGCCGATGAACAAAATCAACAAAATCAAAATATTTAGATTTCGGCATTAAATAACCAATGTTGATATGCCGATGAACAAAATCAACCAAACCAATCAAAATATTTAGATTTCGGCATTAAATAACCCATAGAGGTCTTGATATGCCGATGAACAAAATCAACAAACCAATCAAAATATTTAGATTTCGGCATTAAATAAAAAAATCCGATGAACAAAATAATCAAACCAATCAAAATATTTAGATTTCGGCATTAAATCCCATAGGTTTGATATGCCGATGAATAAAAATATTTAGATTTCGGCATTAAATAACCCATAGAGGTTTGCGATGAACAAAATTTATTTAGATTTCGGCATTAAATAACCCATAGAGGTAAATGAACAAAAATCAAAAAACCAATTTATTTAGATTTCGGCAAAATAATAGAGGTGTTGATATGTCCATGAACAAAATCAACCAAGCCAAACCAATCAAAATATTTAGATTTCGGCATTCAATAACCCATAGAGGTCTTGATATGCCCATGAACAAAATCAACAACAGATCCAAGACAAAAATCCGGAAGCTATCAGGTTAGTGGGAATAATATTTACTGTAAACAGCTTGCGGCTTTGTGCCAGACTAAACAAAATTTAGTAAATAATTAATGTCTGAATACCGAAGTTAAGCAACGCCGAAGCTTGTTAACATTTCGATGGGTGTTCGCTTAAGATCACGTAAACTACAAGAAGACAGAATGCATGGTCACCAGTAAAAGGACGAGCGGGAAATGCGATTTGCAGGCCAGGAACACTAGAATCAAGCAGACATCAAGCAGTTTAAATATCTGGGAAGCGTCTTGACAGTGGACGGTAAGTGCGACACTGAGATCCGTAAATGTATTGGGATGGCCAAGAACACATTCCAAAAAGCTGGGTAGAGTATTGCGAGGCAGGAGGATTTCTTTGGTAACAAAGGAAAGAATACTGAGCTGTTACGTTACATCTATCCTTCTTTACGGCAGCGAATGATGGACGATTTCCTCAAATATGAAGAAGAGACTCGAGGCGACTGAGATGTGGTTCTACAGAAGGATGCTAAGGATATCATGTGAGCAACGATGAGGTCTTAGATAAGTTACAAACAAGGAGAAGGCACCTGAAGTTTCTGGGACACACAATGAGGAAGGATAGCCTGGATAACCTGATACTCACGAGTCAAATAGAGGTGACATATCTGACGAGCTTGAGCAGGTAGATAATATAACGTGGCCTGGGGTGGGGAGGAAACAAAGGGAAGGGGCTTGCTGAGAGCTGCAAGAGATAGAGGGAGGTGGAGAGCCATGATCGCCTACGTCCTGAAGGGACACGGCACATAAAAAGAAGGAAGTGTTGGCCGTTTTGAGGTCTTTTAAATTAAATAAGCTTCATGTTATTCATAAATTGGAGCCTTGGAGGATTATGCTAAACATCCCAAACATATAATACATTCATGAACTAACAGATATTCATCCATGGATTTTTCTCCGTTTCATTCCCAGTACTCTGAAAATTACCTGTATGACTGTTAGTTCAGTTTTCAATTATCTCTGTTAATTTTTTCTCCATTTATATTTATTCTATACCCACGGCGGACAGGCGTTTTTTCATAGGAGGTGTCGCATTTTTGTCAGCTCTGAGTAATATTGTCCGTGTCACAATAATAAATCGAGTTTCATAACACGACAGTGTAAATAAGAATCCTACATGCGAATTTTATTTGCATATTTCTTTGCTCATTAGACACATTTTGTGAAAAGACTGCATAAATGTATGAGAAAATAGTTTCTTATTTAGTACTGTTGGAGGATATTTTATAACGGCTCCTCACCTCAAGGAGCGCCCAAATAAGAATAAATACGAGGTATTAAAAAGGGAAAATGAAAAGAAGGGTGCCAAAATATTTTTTATTACATGCAACAATGCAAAGCAACAATACAAGATGACATAAACGCAAACATGGTCCTTACCACGAGGACGAGGTTTGCACTCCGTAAATTTACTACCCTTAAGCTAAGGCGAGGTGAGGTGAGGTCGTCAACTACCAGTATATATCGTCGTTCGCCAGGATGTGAATCGAGACGCCAGTCGCAACGCGGGACCGACCTCTTCCCGGGACTGGACTGACTCTGTTTTAAGGGGTCCGAATTCATCTCAGTTGTCCACACTGTTTCAAGGACATTAACTCACCTCGCCTTATCTGCTCGCTCGGTGGAGAGTTTTATCGAAAACCCTACCATTCATTTGCTACTATTAATGAGATCTGTGTTGCAAAGTATAATTAATTGCAATCAGATGTGACACAAGGTCGAGGTTTAAAGTGGATTTAATGGCCATATAACGCAAAAAATCCCAGGCCCCCTCGGCACTTTTCCTTTTGGGGACGCCACAAACACTGGGCAATAATCCCAGCTCTCTGCCGAGGGAGAGGTATTGTTTGGGATGGGGAAAGCCTCCTATTCAAAGAATATAAATCCCAGTCAAAGGTATTAGGATTTATTTATCCTCCAGCTGTATTAACTGCTATTTATAAGGTGAGATTTGCATATGAATACAACAATCTGTACATTTGAAAAAATGTATTTTTTACGTAAATAAGTTCTCAATAAATCTTGTTAGACGTTTATAGAAAATCGCAGAAATGGCATCATATGTACAAATAGGTACCTTAGATCCCATCATGATGATTAAGCATTGAAATACATTCAAACAAAGACACATGGTCTAACTGCCCGGAAATAACAAGTGATATTTCTCCATTTTGTCATGCACACATTTCTGTACTATTCAGGCTTCTATACGGCCTGCGAGGGTTTTTCAATATACAGTTAAAAATTAATATCAAGAAACTCTCTCTCTCTCTCTCTCTCTCTCTCTCTCTCTCTCTCTCTGTTTCTTTTTGTTTCCCTGGTGATAAAATTATTCCTTCATTTTCTTTACTATATCACTTTAACTGTTCATTCCAATGTTGATAATTTACATACATTGACAAAAAAGAAAGGTCTTATTGGAGAAAAATTAATTAAAAAATATCCAAATTGATCTACATGCAAAAATAAATAGCACAAATGAACTAGTCATCTTAAAAATATACACAGAGTATATATATATATATATATATATATATATATATATATATATATATATATAAAAAAAATAATAACATTTTTCTTCTCCGTCATATTTAACAAAAGATGTTTACAAGAAAGGTAGCTACCCAAATATACATTAATATAAATATATATATATATATATATATATATATATACAGGAAGAAATATATTTTAAGCTATGCTGTAGTTATGGGATAAAGTGCACAATATCAGATATAGAACGTATATAAATATAAAAGTGGACATTGAAGTCAACACTCAGGGGCGACAGATTGTTTCATGCAATCGTTAAGCCACATATGGCCTGAAGGTTGCGTTTAGCATGAAAAACAGTCTGTCGTCTATAAAGTGCTGTCACTGATATATATATATATATATATATATATATATATATATATATATATATATATATATATATATATATATATATACAAATGAGAGAAAAAGAACAGATGGAGTAAAAAATCCACAGTTCGTAGCATTTACTTTTAAAAAAAGTGCTCAATACAAAGTAGAACAATATGTTATTATTACATTTTTATTATAAGAGATAATAACAACTTTTTTAACAAAAGATGTTTACAAAAAAGGTGACATTCTTGGCAGATCTTCTATTATCATAATGTGGGATATTTAATATCAAAGTTAAAATTTTCATTCATGCGCATGCGTAGTCGCATAAATGTAAACAAACCTCGTCTGATTAAGTCCATAGGCACGAAACGCGTCACACAAAAACATTTTTCCACTTTGTCATATATCTTTCCTCCAAAACTGTTCTTGCTATATAAAAATTTATATATAGTTATCCCATATATATATATATATATATATATATATATATATAATACTGGAGGATATTTTTAATTATAATAGTGTTAAATGTGATATTATACTATACTATTATAGTAATATACTTATCACCTGTAATAGTTGGTCGTAGCGATCCTGTAGCTTTACATAGCACGATACATTGATTTAGAAGAGTTTCCTGATAATTAGGGTTCACTATTTTTTACAAGGCCCGAGAGCCACACAAGGTAGATGGTTACAGAGTAAAAGGCACAGTTTATGCGAATATGTGGGGAAGATAACGGTTAACCTTAGATTTAGTGAGTGGGAAATCATTCTCTTGGGAGTCGGTTCCACAGAGCAGCTGTTCGCGAGAAGAAACTGCTCAAGTGGAACTTACCACCAATCGAATACAAAGGGAATGACGGTGGTTCGCTACGATGTGCGTAGCATAGCGGGTCTTATCCCTGAAGTTTAGAATTGATAACAACCAAAGAATGTAATTCGTCTGAGCACTAAATGATAGCCGACTTCTTTATACTCTTTCTTCCTGTCTTGAATAGATGTCACGGCATGTAACCAACACTTACCAAAATTTATTAATGGATATTTAAAATATGTTTGTTGTGCAGCATAAAAACGCCAGGCCGTCGACACACTCCCTTCCCCGTTCTCACCCACTACCCCGGCCCTCATTCGGTATACGATTGCCTATTAATCTTTTAAGTTTTTTATTTTTTAATCTTATTTTCTAGATTGAATTAATTTTATTTATTCCGTCGAGTTAGCTCGGACATTCGTGAATCTATCACGCCAAGCATCACGGTCCTCCATAAAGGTCGGAAGGTCATTAGTGTGTCATTCTATCTGATAATATACCTGGTCAATGTAGGTGGTTGCTGGGCGACCAACTCGTTTTGTTCCATGGCTTGGTATCCAGAGTAGTATATCGCTAACGAACTCTTGTTTTGCTCGCCGGCGGTGTCCTGCAAATCGCATTCTGCGTTCGCATAAGGTTGTAGAAATATCAGAGATGGATCCATAGAACTGTGATTTCCTTTGGTGTTGTCTCCGGGAGATATTATGTATAACTCTCCGACTGTAGGTTCCATCAAAGCTTAGACTCAAGGGTTTTAGTAAATGTCCAAGAAGTAGCACCATACATTAACAGTGGTTCGAAAGAATCTCCACTTGAGATTGTCTGATCACATTTCCAAATTAGATCCATTTTATTGACTATGCCAGGGGCGGACAGCCGAGTTCGAATTCCAGTCAAATCCGTTACATTCACTTACGTGTTAATACCCTTGAGAAAGATATGAATCTTCTTCTCCCGCCTCCAGCTATGGGTAAATAGCAGGACAGACCGGGTTCTATAGCATCGGATGGCAACTGGTCTACTGCAGAAAGAAATGGCAACCTACTGCGGGAAAAATCTACCTCGTCAGTCATTTATCGAAAGATACATGATCGCCTAAGCGTGTATCACGTATGGCACATAATTGACCGAACTGACTGACAAGGGTGGCGAAACTTGTTTAATATAAGAGCCACATAAAGTTCATATGTTTGTGAGCCGCATGACATGAACAAAATTTACAGATACGTTTTTGTTACATACACATTAACATTAAACTTGTGTTTTAAACCAATGGGATCTCAATTCATACCTAATAAATAATTTTTATAATTATTTATTATAATTTTTATAATTATTTATATAATTTTTATAATTATTTACAGTGTAACCCGGATATAAGAGAGTTGTCGGGACCAGAGAAGAAGTCTCTTATATCCGGGTTTCTCTTATATCTGGGTTTGGTCTATTTTATATATATTAACACAGGCTCTAATTTGGGACCAGAGAAAATCTCTCTTGTATCCGGGTTTCTCTTATATCCGGGTCTTTTATATCCGGGTTACACTGTATTTATATAATTATATATTTATATACTTATTATTTGACATTTTCCTTATTTACCTTTTATATTAACTGTGATGAAAAATGAGCTTAACCAACATATTTCTACAATCCGCATATTAAAGGTCAAAAAGACGCATATTAAAGGTCAAAAAGACGGATATTGAAGGTCGAAGAGAGGCATGTGACTCGCGAGCCACGGTTTTGCTACTCCTATGCAGGCACCATTACCTGTGCCACAGTGCGTCTACATCATCTAGAATATGCTGCCAGTGGTGTTGGGCTCAGTCTCATGGCCTCTAAAACTGAATTCATCGGCTTCAAAGCTCAATACAAACTGTCACAGATGAATCAACAAAACCTGTCGAATCTTTTACATAACTAGGAAGCGAAATAAATTCTGCTGAAAAAGATATGAAAATTCACATGGCTAAAGACTTGGCCGCCTTGAATATAAGCGAATTAATTTTGTGGTTCTAC